CACAAGGCAGAACGACCTTGCCCAGCGATGGGAAACCTATCCCATCGATGGGAACCCAGCGATGGTAAGGGTATACCATCGATGGGAAGGCATGACCGTTGGTGGTCATTAAAGGTTGATTCTTTCCTTGTTTGGAAGTCAACCTCCCACCCAGCGATGGGAAGCTTGTACCCATCGATGGGTAGGTGACCGTTGACTTCAAAACTGAAGGAAAATTGGCTTACCAGCGATGGTTGAGTCTAAACATCGATGGGAAGCCAATATTCTGCAGATCCCAAATCTTTTCAATCCCATAAATCAAGCCAATCACCCCTTTAATGCATTGGTCCGTTGGAGCCTTCTTTGGCACTATAAAAAGGGGTGTTTGGGTCTGCTTTCCTCACCAATTCACTTCACAACATCTATACTTTCATTGCATTCAAACATCATCATTTTCCTTAGCTTTCTAGAGCCATTTTTGTGTGAAGGTTGAGTTGTTCTTGAGCGTACTTAGTTTACTCATAATATACTCTATAAGAGAGTCTCGTTCTTGAGTGTACTTGTGTTCTTAGACACGTTGAGAGATAGTATCTCTCTCGGTTGATTCAAAGGAAGGTCTGTTTCCTTTGAAGGATTTGTTGAGGTTCGTGTGACTCGAACTCTCAAGTTGTAACGGTTTGTTAAGCACCCGTAAGCTTAATGAGATAGTAGTGTAGCTCGAGAGAGTCTCTCGGGAGGCTGGATTAGCCACAAGTTGTGGTGAACCAGGGTAAAATTTGGTGTGCCTCTTACTCTTCTCTTTACTTCTCTTTTAATTTTTTAATTCCTGCGATTTCTCCGATCAAACGCTATTCACCCCCCCTCTAGCGTTGGTCTATTATTCTAACAGACCGTGGATATCAGGACGGTCCACCAGGTCGACCGTTCGATCATCTCTAAGGAATCCGTCATTCTGCCTCTCGGACGGTCGACCGTGGACATCGGAACGGTCCATCAAGTCGACTGTCTGTAGCCGATCTGCGATCTACTCTGCCGCTTTCCTCTGGTCGACCGTCCCTCCTAGAACGATCCATCTGTTCTTCCGTCCGTAGTTCTTCATCTTCATCATAAGAGCTAACCTCATTTGTAGTTCCTGTATCAAGAGATGCACCTGTAGGAGTCAAGAAAGGGAAAATATCTTCACAAAACACAACATCCCGGGACACCTTGATTTCACCAGTGTCCGGGTAGTAAATACGCCATCCCTTCTTCCCTTGTGGATATCCAACAAATATTCCAGGAATGCTTCTCAGTGCAAATTTATCGACATTCCTTTTCAAGTTATGAGCACAACATCTGCATCCAAAAACACGAATATGAGCCAAAGAGGGTGGCTTTTCATAGATCTTCTCGTATGGTGTGACCCCCCTAGCAAAGACAAAGGTGTGCGATTGATCAGATGTGCGGCGGTCTGTATACACACTCCCAGAACTCAATCGGAAGACCAGCCTGAAATCTCAAAGCCCGACCCACATTCAAAATGTGTCGGTGCTTGCGTTCTACTCTCCCATTCTGTTGTGGAGTAGACACACAAGACGTCTCATGAATAATTCCTTGCTCCTGGAAATATTCGTTTAGACATTCAAATTCTGTGCCATTATCACTGCGAACACACTTTATTTTCTTCCCAAATTGTCGTTCTACCATAGCACAGAATTGTTTAAAAACAGCGCCAACCTTACGTTTGGAATCAAGCAAATGTACCCAAACACCTCTTGAAAAATCATCCACAATGGTCAAGAACATTGTAGAACCATCAAAACTTGGAGTCCTATATGGTCCCCATAAATCACAGTGTATCATATCAAATTTATCAACAGATTGATAAAAACTTATAGGAAAACTCCCACGAGTCTGTTTAGCACGCAAACAAATGTCACAACAACTGTGACTACTCTTACTTGTTCCAACTCCAGGAACAAGAGACAAAACATGAGAGGAAGGATGTCCAAGTCGTTTGTGCCAAAGATCAAACTTACTCTCCTTCTTCGCACTGCACACCATCTTCTTTTC